GAAGTTAACAGCTGTTTGATGTCATAAATGTCATAATTTTCACAAAATTATCACAGCCCTCTTGATTACAGTTGAGTTCTGATAGTGTTAGTTTTATTATAATATTTGTTTTTAATTCGAAATATTCCCCATTGGGAATGTTATAGCGATGTTATAGCGAACTTCCTGCCTCGCACAGCAGCATTGTGGAATGGTCTGTCCTCGGCGGTATTTCCAAACCGCTACGACTTAGGGTCCATCAAGAAGCGAGCTTATCACCACCTCAAAGGCCGGCAACGCATCTGCGGTTCCTCTGGTATTGCTGATGTCCATGGGCGTCGTTGAACACCTCGGTGTTCCCGCTGCTCGTTTGCCCCCTTCTGTTATAAAAAATAAATAAAAAAAAGAAACAGCTTATCTACCAATTTCTAAAAATTTGCAAAGGAAAAGTTAATCTGATAAAATCATTACGGATATTTACTTTTTTAGAAAACAATTTACTCGTAAATAACAAATTAGTTCAATTTCAATTTTATTTTATTTAGAATGATAATATTTATAATCTAATATTGTTAATTTTGATATTTAACGTTAATCATCATCATCAGCTCATTATACGTCCCCACTGAGGGTCTCGAAACCTACCCTAAGTTAAGGGTGACTAGGCCATAGTCAAACACGCCGGTCCAATGCGGGGGTTAGTTGACTTCACACTTATCATTGAATTTCTTCTCAGATATGTGCACGTTGCATCATGATGTTTTCCTTCACCGTAAGAACGTCGGATATGTAAATCGAATATAGAAAAACACATTGGTACATGGCGGGATTCATTCCCAGGACCTGCAGATTACAAGTGCTTAATAACTGAGCCACCGACACTCTCAATTAATGAATAGATTAATATTAATTTAAATAAGCGATCTTTTCTTGCAAAGTTTGTTTTCGAAATTCATGATTTTAACACAAGGCTCGACTTCCTTGGTGGTCAAACCGTACGACAACTAACATAGACATTTGCTAACATGTTCTAAATAAGGCTGTGATTTGTGACAATATTTCTATGTACCTTTCAATCACAAACAGGACTTTTGAAAGTTGTACTAAAATTGCGAGAATTAAATCTATAAGAAAGTCATCCAGTTAAGGATTTGGTATAACTTTACTGAGGAACTCTTTCTTTGCTGTATAATTATATTACAGTTTTTTTTTTATATTATAAACGATTGAATTGTTGTTTCTTTATCTCTACGTAGAAAAGTCTGCAATGTTATTTGATGAAATTGTACATCTTACTAATCTTATCTTACTATTATTATAAATGCGAATGTTTGGATGTATGGATGGATGTTTGTTTGAAGATATGTCCAGAACGGCTGCAAGTATCTCGTTGGAATTTGGCACAGATGTAGAACATCTTGAAGAATACATAGGCTACTAATTAAGTATTTTTTTTATTCTGCGCGACATTCTGACAACGTTATTAGAATTAAATCATTATAATAGTTATGTTAAAGGAAAACGTTTGATGTTATTAAACGCACGAAATTTAGTAACAAGTATTGATAAAAAATAATTTCGCACTTCCATTGCAGCTAATGAAGTTGTTGCAGAATTGCTATTGTTTTTTTCACATCCTTTATTACGATAAAATAAACGATTTCTCCGGATACAACTGTATCGATACTAGTTTTTGTTGCTTAATGTAGTTATATCAATAACTTGTTTTACATAGCAATCTAAAATTTCCGTTTCAGTGTTAGTTATAGTTTGAAAAAAAATAGTAAAAATATTAGCTGAATTTGTATTGCTTTTGGTTAATAATTTAGTTCATAGTTGGAAATTGATAATTGTGTTTCTGGAAGACAAATTCTCTGCCTTCTCATACTTTTTCAAATAAAGATGGTAAAGGAATTCAACGGAGAGTGAAATGTTACTTTTTCAGTTATACTGTAGGAATTAAATATCCCTTAATTTGATGCTTTTTTCTATGATTATAATCGCAGGTTGCTATGATATAATAATAGTATATAAGGATATGTATATTACATAAGAGTCAGGCACTTTGACGGCGGGAATAGTGACCGGAGCGACACAGGATGTTCCCACCTAGTTTTAAACTCGACCCGGAGACGCGAGCCACTTGTTAAATGTACGCATTGACAGCGACTGTAATATCGATTGATTCAATCGATATAATGTATCAAATAATCGATTTTAATAATATGTTTCATCGAGTTTACGATTAATTTATGAAATTAAATTATTCTTTGTTTTTAATCTTTGCAATTCCAGACATCCTAATTTTATATATTTTTCTAATTAACTATAATTATAGTTGTGAACGTTTGGATAGATTTGATGTTTGTTAGAAGGTATAAGCCCAAGCCGGGTTCATGGATCTCAATGTAATTTAGCATAAATGTAGAACACATAGGAATTAAGTTTTTCTTTTTTTTATATCCGAGAGGAAGGCGTCGCGGGCGACAGATAGTATTACCTAATATCACTTATTTTACTTGATAAATGAAAATATAACAAGACAATATCCACCATGTATTGATTTTAATGGAGGAAGTTGACATTATTTGGGCTTAGATTCTACTTTATATTGAAAGTAGAGTTAGCAATTGACATCAAGATATCAAGTTAATAAATAATACAGGAATATTCCAGCCCTAAAACATATCAACCACCTTCTTCTTGTGAAGTTTTCGTTCGACGCTAATATTTACATTGGTAGCGACAACAAATATTTTATTTTGATATTTTCGGTGGTCCGGGAGAGATCCCGCTCTCACAGGCCATTCATAAATCATGAGCATTCTGCGCACGTATTCAAATTTATTTTCCTGACAACAGATGGCGTGATTTGAAACAGGTATTATCTGTCACAGACAAAATTAAACTAAGAAAGGCCTAATGTTTGTATTGAAAATCTTACTAATATTATAAATATAATTGTTTAAATGTATGGATGGAACGGCTCAACGGATCTTAATGAAATTTTGCACATATGTAGAACATAGTTTGGAAGAATACATAGGCTAATTATTACGTTTATCTTTAATCCGCGCGAATGGTGTCGCGGGCGTCAGCTAGTTTATTATGAATTCTGATTTTATATGAATAAACTATACGTTGGAAGTTTGTAGGTAAAAATTATGTTTATAATAGAATATTGTCTATATCCAGAGTCTAGACAACATAGTAGGTAGGTATCTTAATAAAGTTATGATTTAGTTTGTATTTATATTTTCTAATATGTTGTTCTTTTTTTAAAAATAAACGTAACTATAATATTGGCATAAAACACAACATTGAACAACACTTTTTCATTTTTTTTTAGATTAATTGATTTAATAATAACTATTGTGTAAATGGGTTGAATATTGTATTTACGTTTTAACGAATACCAGAATATCTTGGACGTCATCGTGTTATTGTAAAGTTCGAAAGAAAAAGGATATATATGTACCAAATTTGTGTTTCTTGATATCCATTAAAATATAGTTCTACGTTGAAATATTAATTTTTTATTTCTTTTAACGTAATAAATTTAATTCAATATATTTTCCAGTGTCGGTAAAAATGAGAGGACGAACACTCGATAAGAAATACCTGGTCCTTGCGCCTTTTTTTTTTGTTTTCCAATGTTAAAAGTTTTTAAGTAACGATGTCTCGTCTTGGAAAACAAGTCGTGCCTTTACATTTTAAAAGGAACAAGTAAAAAAAAACAAGGTCTTCAAACGAGTGGCGTCGCCGTCGCAATTGCCCAGTGACAATCAAAATTTGCTCGCTAATAAACATAATTAAAATGTAAACCGCTTGCCGCTTTTAAATTGCTACTTTATTAGGTACTAGCGGTTGTCTGTGTCTTTGTTTGCGCAGAATGAAGAAAACTGGTGAAAAGTATGTACTGTGTTACTGGAGACTATGTTTTTTTTTATTTGTGTCAAATTTGATTGACATTTTTTGAACCGTTGGAGAGTTATTGAACTAATATGGAAATCAAAGGTAATCCGCGGGAACCGTACACGTTTCCGGGATCATAGTGAGACAATGTGTTCTTCCAGACTGTTTATGTACAACAATTTTTAACGACATCCATGCAGCTGTAATAGCCTGATTGAACAGAATTTTGTCAACGAAATTTCAGAAATTCCTAACCTTCTACCAAACCATCCACATCAACATCTTCTAATAAATGATTAAAAGAAGGAGAAGGAATATTTTTGTGTTACGGATGAAGTCATTTAAAATTTAAAATGATATGTGTAAGCACGATGTCAAACACGATGTTCTTGCACCTAGGAAATATTTGAAGTCGGAAGTAGAATATATCCCATCCACGTACCCAGCGGATTTGTAAAGTGTAAAGCGTATGGAATCGCTGCACTCTGTGAGTAAGATGTAGCGAGCAAGCACGCAATGAACACAACATTTCGGCAAGAAGTTGCAGCACGGCGTGGTCTCGTGCAACAGACTTTTGACGGCGGCAAGAAGCAGCAGCGACGACACGGCGGCAGGCGTCATCGGCGGCGGCGCGGAGGGCGCAGCGACACAAAAGATATCGCGAGACCTAACGAGCTCAATTGATGAACGAACGGAAACGTGTCCAATTAGAAGGAGGCGGCGAGCGTCGCCCCCGCGCCCGCGCCCGCACCGCTCCGCGCGCCGCATTAACCAGATTAGCGGAGCGCGGCGCGAGGTGTGGCGCGGCGGACACCTCGCGCGCGGCGACACTCCGCGCGCGGCCCCGCCCCCCCGGCCGCGCCCGCCCGCCGCCGCCCGCCGCCCGGCGCCATTGGCGGCGGAGGGTGTCGCGCGCGGCGCCGGCCGCCAGTCGCCTGACGCCCGCCGCGCGAGCGGCCGCACCGATACACGCGTCGCGCATCGAGCGCTCCGCCGCGCGCGCCCGTGCATGAGCGGCGCCCGCGCGACCGCTGGAGCCGCCGCGCACGCCGCGCTCGCGCTCGCCGGCCGTGGAGCGCGCGCCGTGGGCCCCGGGCGGCGCGGGCATGCGCTTCGAGGGCGCCGAGCGGCGCGACGCCGTGGCCTTCCACCCGCTGCTGGCGCCGCGCCCCAGCGACTTCTCGGTGTCTGCGCTGCTGACGGCGGGCGCGCTGCCGCCGCCGCCGTACCTGCCCGCGGCGCTGGCGGCCGCCGCCGCGCTGTCCGCGCCCTGCCCGCTGCTCAAGCCGCCACCGCCGCCCTACGCGCCGTTGCCTCCCGACGACGACGGCGTCCTCGACGACCCCAAAGTCACGCTCGAGGGCAAGGACCTCTGGGAGAAGTTCCACAAGCTGGGCACCGAGATGGTGATCACCAAGAGTGGCAGGTCAGTACGGCCGGCTGCGACGCCACGTGACAAGTGCTGTGTGTGATACTATGTAGGGACGCCGCGGTAACCATGTTCCCCTCGAGGTGCGTGATGCGGTAAGTAGAGCTAGAATTAGGATTAGCCGCGTAGCGCGAAGCTACATGCGTTAGAAGGACCGCGACAGCGAATCCCTGCTTTTGTTTACATCGCAACGCAGTTTGCATCGAACAGAAAAGCTTGCCTTGTGTCTGCTACTGATCTGATAAGTTTCAATGTAGACAGATGAGACATGTGACGTGATTCAGCGTCAGCCGGCGCCGGCTGGACCGGTTCGCGCTGGGCACCGCGGGTACCATATTATGCGTGTAAACGGTTATAAATCTAGTTCGCATAGACTATTAAAGTGCTGCTTGGTGTAAACATGTCCATTTTTTTTCTTTCGGCATAAAGCTATCAAAGTTATAAATTATTCTTGACTTGTTTAAAACATAAATCTAAAATTTACGTACATTATTATTGTTATATTCATTAGAATTAATAATATCTTTCATGATATTAACAAAGATTAAAAATACAACATTTTAATTCTACGTCCTTATATTATTTAGTAAGTTTTATTTTAATAGTAGACGGAAAGGGTTGCCGCGCGCGACATATAGGCACATTTTTCATCAAAACTTCGCACCCGTCGGCAAATGCACACTTATTCTGTCAAACACCTTTACTTCTTGTATTGCGGAAAAAATATAATTAAAATCAATTTTGTAACATATAAAATATATATTTTAAAACTGAAAACAAACGTTTAAAATATTACTACAGTCTAAATAATGTGTTTTTTATTTCAAGCAGTAATAATTTCAAGATGTAAAGCAAAAGATTTTCAAGTAAAAATAATAACGTATTAAATAATTTCCTAAAAATTGTGTATTATTATAAGACTTGTTTTAACAAATAGATCAAATTAGGTTTCGTGTATTTCCTGTTAACATGATTCTAATAAACATTTTCACTCTTATTTGCTGAGCCTACGGCTTAAAAATCGCCGTTAAAGATGAAGAAACCCAGTTCACTGCCATAGGCTTATTTGTCATATTAGGGATTGTAATCATATTACTAATATTATAAATGTGAATGTTTAGATGGATGTATGGAAAGATCTTTGTTAGAAGGATCTCGATGTAATTTGACAGTGATACAGAACATAGTCAGGAAATACAAATAATTTTCTTTAATTCGCCGTGGACGGAGTCGCAGACAACAGCTAGTATTGTTATAATAATATATATTTTGTTATAATACTACTTGTAGACAATTAAATTCGTAAAAATAAATGCTTATATTTTTATGACCCAACGTATGTTAAAAACATGGTGATTGTCTTCTCTCTCTTATTATTTCTACATTAAATCACACAAAGGCATTTAATGCATTTTTTTTAATATATGCTTCAACTTATAAGAATTCGTTATACTTATTTGATAGCTATGTGTTCATTTATAGCTTTAAACTTAATTACTATGTTCGAATAGTATAGTAGTTACTGCACAATAATTGTCCAGTTAAAAAAAAATATGATGTCCTTTATCTGTAGTTAACATCATCTTTAAGAGATCTTTGATATTTATCTATGAAAGAAGTCTGTACTATGTTAGTTATGCGACTAATGATTTTTGTTACAATTAGATCTGTAGTTTTCCATTTATAAAAAAAATATGTTTTTTTTTCTTTTTAAATTTAGCATAGATTATGTTTACTATATTTTACAAGATAGCGTTTTCAAGCAACGTTGTAACCTACTACACTAAAAACATACGTACAAAAAACTATAGTAAAATTTTACGATCCAAATGAATACTCTATTTGTAAGAAACATGTAGTAAAATTCTGAAACAAACACGCAAGTTGTCTGTAACAAATTTATTGACAGAATAGCAGTCGCCTGTGTCTTCGTCCGTGCGGAATTAAAAAAACAATATAGTTATTAATAGGCGATGTGATCTGGGGACAGTGCAGCTTCTTAACAGTGGAAGAATTTCTCAAATCGGTTCTGTAGTTTCGGAGCCTATTCAATGCAAACAAATAAACAAATGTGTCCTCTTTATAGTATTAGTATAGATAAAATCTCAGTACTTACTAAAGTTCCTAATAAGATAAGAATTAATATAGATATTAAGTACCTTGAGCACCTAATAAAATAATATGTCAAAGAATATTTATAAAATAGCTCTATTTCAGAAAGTAGAGCCTCGTATATATTATTGTCGTTTTTTTCTATTTGTAGTAAATTTGTATTTAGAAAGGGAAGTTTTAATTATTTTTGTTTTGGATAATCTCAAAATTATTTCTGCCATAGAAAGGTCTTTGATTAGCAAATAACATGGTTACTTTTTATCTCTCTGTCAAAGCCGGCAGCTCGGCGGTTTAGGTCCACGATAAAAGTTATGAATTGGTAATAACATATGCAACACAAATGTATAGCTTCAGTTTATCCTTGTTTAGCTACAGTTTATCTCTTGTTTCTGTACAGTATCGATGATGTTTACTTACTAAACAAAATTAACCTTAACTTGCATCCGTCGATATACTCAAGGGCTCAAGGGCAAATTTTCGAGAGTACCCTCAAAGATCAAAGAGCGGGAACTTTTTTTTTTTTGAAGCAAGAAAACGGCGAAGTGTAGAAGGAAATCTGCTAGAAGGGTTTTGTGAGAGGCGCCAGGTGATTTTCCCCGAAACCTTTGTAAATGTTTTCGTTTTTTTTTTTCTTTGCCCGTTTCGAAAACTTTTGTCCTCAAACGTTCGCGTTTTGTTCTTTTAGAGATAGAGAAATTGTGTGTATAATTTTAATTTAAACTGAAATCGCGTGCATAAGTTTTTATGTTAGTTTATTCATGTGTTGTTGTAGTTAAATTGTACTTATAGTTAATTTCATTATTTTACAAAAAAAAACACGATAAAAAGTGCATTTCTACGGCATAATTAAAAGCTTTTTGTTTGAGTTATTGTAATAAAATATATAACGTTAACTGAACTGCTACCTTCAGATAATTATTATTTTAGTCTTTGTAAATTGTAAAAAGAATGTTTTGGAAGACAAAGGGTTTTTATTATTTGAGCCACAGATTTTTCGGTATAATTAATTGTGTTGTTAAATATTGTCCTTAAAGTTAAAAAAAACAATGTATCAAGGAAAATATTTGAGCAGCTACTTAGTTTCAAAACGAACTCTGTCTTATGCCAATCGTTTTAATAAGTAACTGGCAGACAGTACAAGGAAAAAAAATTGCCATGTTTATCATGGCTGAATCACTGTTTCCTTTGTAATTTGCAAATCTAACCTCTGTTTAAAAAGCTACGCTTTGAGTCAACTGACTATCTTATTATTCTTATGCTGAACACAGATAAAAAATTTAAAAATTAATTTATTGTTATTCTTATCTGTATGCAGATAATTTGAAGTTTCATACCCGAAATCTTGACAGCCAGTCAATTTATTATACAATGAGCATGAATAATGAAATAAAACTACATTTGTGATTATTTTAGCCTAGGCAATATTGTTCTTTTACATATGTTTTTTAATCACGTTTCTATAAAAATAAATGAAAAATCATTAGTTTGGAACATCTCTTTTGCGCGAACAGTAAGAACTATATCTATGAATCCATACTAATATAAGGAGGAAAGATTTGACTGTTTCTTTGCATTGAATAGGCCCAGGAACTGCTGAACCGAATTGACATTTTTTTTCATTGTTGGGAAGCTACACTATCCACGGCTGACATATTCATAGGAACGAAGTCGCGGGCTACAGATAGTATAAAACAATTTTGTTGTTATATTTGTCCTAGCTATATGCCCGTGAGTTTAAAAAAAACAATCTATTTTAGTGACTTAACTTTTGCTACTATATATTTACTAACTTTAGTTAGTGTAAGGTAAATAATATTTTAAAGTAAAAGAAAGGTTATAAAATTAAAGTATGGTTTATATCTTACTTCTTACTAATATTATAAATGCGAATGTTTAGATGGATGGATGTATGGATGTTTGTTTGAAGATATTTCCAGAACGGCAGCATGGATCTCGGTAAAAAATTTGTCATAAATGTAGAACATATAGGCTACTAATTAAGTTTTTTATTAGTACCACGCGGACAGAGTCGTGTGCGACAGCTAGTAGTTAATAAGAGTTTCTTTTTTAGGATTGTTTTATAAGCTATGTTAATCTAGCCTTTATAACTAGACGCTCTGTGAGGTGCCCGCATCTTGTCTTAGGGTCTTAAATTCTCTATCTAGGCCTGTGATCCGAAGTACCTAATGTATGCGGGTAGTTTATTATCTGTTATACACTGATCGAATCAAGGATATCTGCTCCTTGAAGCTTTGAGAATTAAAATAAAAGAATCTTGATATTATCTGAATTTTAGTGTGTAGGCGTTAGTCCATTTGATAAAGGTTTTAAAAGGTATTTTTTAAGTTAATGGTTGTTTGTTCACGATGCACCAGTTTTATGATTAAAAAAAATTAAAAGCAAAATGCTAAATACCCATTGGATTTATTTTTTAAGTTAAGTTGTTGACTTTATTTTAAAGTTAGATTATTGTACAGGATGTTCGGGTGATTTTCGATAGGTATCTGGGGGGCGCGGCGGTGCCCTGTCGAACAGGACCAAACCATCTTTTTCTCGAACACCCTTGTAACGTTGGAAAAAGACAACCTATAAAACTAAGTTATGAGTAACCTAAAATAAGAGTACAGTTTTTAAATCAATGTTTATTCACAATGCTTAATTGTATATTGGTTAAGTTAAATTATTATTTAATAACTTTAATAACTTAATACAGCCTGTCATATTTAATTTAGAAACAGTTTTTTTTCCTCTCAATATAACGTAGTTGAGTTTCAAAATAATTGGTAGCTTACAAGTTACGTTTATCAACCTACACAAGTTCTGAGTTGCAATGTACTGAAATAATTTATAATTTAAAATTAAAGACTAGAAAACATGTGTGTCTT